GTGTTCAAGCAAATTTATATAAATGGCATTTCCCGAATTAGGGAAACTACGCCTCTGAAATGAGTTGGTGTGTGAAGAATGGCTACCTGTGCTATGGAAATTCTTATGCTATTGAATTTTATTCTACTTCAGAAAGCTTATTCCTTTTTCTAAAGATCTCCATAATTTCTTTTTAAGATATGGGTAAGTAAGAAATGATTTTTATAATAATTATTGTACATTACAGAATTATAAAAAAAGGTTGTTTAAGTTATCTTCATTTTAAATTTGGTTTATATATTTTCAAAATAGCTAGGTTTCAATTGGAGACCTATTATTGGTTCTCTCTGTATGTTATGTTCGTTAATACAATGGAATAAGTAACACAGTGGTAAGACTGATTTGTTCCTCAATGACATTTTTATATTTCCTTAGCTAATATTATTTTATACAATAACTTGTGGAGAACTAAAAAGCTGAAGGATTAAGAGTCAGTTTAAAGATTCAGGTCATATTCTTGCACTAGGAGTATTTCTGGATGATTCTGATATGCAGACTCATAATTTTAATTAATTGCATTGCTTGATTAGTAGTTATAAAGGAGTACATGGTGAGATGGTGGTAAAACACAACTCTTTGTGATATTGACCCACATAGTAGAGGTCTGGGTTTGTGTCCAGAGACCTCCTTGAGTATACCAGCCACATGTGTAAGCATCGTCTTTGATTGACTTTAGGTTAGGGGTACCTTACATAATTTTTTTTTTTTGAGAGTTTTTTGCTATAGGGCGCGTGCGCTCGCCAGACAGACAGAGAGAAACAGAGTGACAGAAAGCAGGAAATCACCCCCCAGGGGGGATGGCCATGCTACAGTCCCTTCTCCTCCATTCTCCTCTAGGGATCTTGGGCACGCACGCACACGCACCCAGCCTGAGTTTAAGCTACCGGGTCCGGGACTCAAACCACGGTCGACCACGTGGGAGTCCAACGACATAGCCATTACGCTAACTGCTGGTCCCACCTTACATAATTTAGTACTCTATTGCTAGTGCTGTCTGTTTCTCTTTGTCTTCCTTACTCATGGGAGAAATATTTGGTTGTTGGGAAAGTTATAACATATTTTTCTATTCAAAAATGAATCATTAGTTTCCTGACAACACAGTAAATAAACTACATTTTTTAAAAATTAAATTTTCAATTTAAAATAGCCACAAAAGTGATGTGTTCTTTTTTTGTGTGTGTGTGTGTGTGTGTGTGTGTGTGGCTAGGTAGGGCATGTGTGCACATGAGAAAGAGAGAAGTTCAGTGAGCAGCACAACATGTTGTAATCCCTTTCTCTGAATACCCATTCTCCTGACCTCTAGCTTCCTTCTCTTCTGTCTTCACCCACTCAATTTTCCCTTTCCTACTTCATCTGCACTTTCTTCTTCGCTGTCTTTATGTACTCTCATATTCTAACAACTTACTATAATATTCAATACACAAACAGATTAGCCTTTGCTGCTAACATAAATCAAACTGTAAGTATTCTTTACATTTCTTAGTTTTTTGTTTTCCTTTGTTTTCATTCCATTCCCTTCGTTCTGCTGTTTTTTTTTTTTTTCCTATTTTTTAAATTTATTTTCTGGTTTCAACACTAAAGCAAAATGGAACTTGCTTTTATTAAATCAATGAAAAGTGCATTAATTTGCACTCACAAGAACCTCTGTCATTCCTTCTCCTACAAGAGTATTCATTTGGCACTGACTTTCCCTTGGTCCTTCAGTTTCTTCTCTTCACTTCCCCAAACTTAACGTTCCAATGTTCCTCCTTGTCTGATTGCTCTGCTCAGTATCCTTTCTCTGGTATATGCCTTCTATCTCTGTGGTATCAGTAGGACTTAATAGTGTATAAGAAAATGAATGTTTTTGAATAGTTATTTTGGCTTTATATAGACATGCTTCAGAGATAGGAGTATTCTGCAGGAAAAGTGAAAAACAGGAGGAAGTGAGGCAGCCAGGGAACAGCCGAATTCATGCCCCAGCCCTGGCTCGGTGAGGACTGCATTTAGTGCTACTCACCTCAGCTGCCAGAGCGTGTGGATGTGGCACATGTTAGGGAAAGTTCTGGCCTTGCTGCCTTGGCTGCCTTTTCAACCTCAGTCCACTTAGTTTCTGTACATGTTCTTCCTACCTCGATATGCCAAATTTGATGCAATGTGCTTCACTGGCCAACGTAGATCATATCCCTTCTGCCCAAAAGAAGGAGGAATGAGAAGTGACTTTTTAGTTTATTTTGTTTTTAAAGGAGTAGGTCAATTCTCCCATAAAGCAATACTCTAGTGGTAAACAAAGCAGGTTCAGATTTTGCTCATTGTATTAACAATGTATATTATTATTCTTTTTTATTTCCAGATGACATTTCTTCTATTTTCTTTTCTTTTTCTTCTTCCTTTGTGTCCACTCCAGGACATTAGGTCATTACTAACTGTGCCTTCAGCTACGACAAGAACTCCAAGTTACTATTTTGATTAAGTTCTAGTAGGTTCCTATATCTCTCCTGATTGTTCTATGATGCTCACTTCACAAACTTGTTAGCATATTTGAGTTCTTAAGTAAATTAAAAAAATATATATTGCCATTGAGTATCCCTGCTTGCAGAGTGAGATAGAGATCAAGGGAGAAAGAAAGGAAGAAAGAGAGAGAGAATGCACCCATTCTGAAGGGATGTAGCCATAACGCTTTTTCCTCCATCTTTTTCCATTAGAATTTTGGGCAGGTACTCACAATGCACACCAGTATGTTTCTTAGGCCACCAGGCCAAGACTCAAAATGTGGTCAACCATGTGGGAGCTAGTTCCCTGAACCACTGACTAAAGCACAGACTCCAGGCAAATTTCGATGACCATCTCCCTAATAACCCACGCACCGTCTCCTATGCACTGATCACTTCCTCTCATGTAATTTAACTAAATTGTAGTGAGTCTTGATTGGGAGTTCTTTGAATTTAACCTTTTATCTTCCTCATTATTCTAATATCATATCACACCTGGTGTAATCACTTCACATGCATTTGAATAACCTCAGGAACATTTTCAAAATGCGGATCTTAATCTTTGTCCTAGAGCAACTTCTCTATTTCTATACTACAACTGAACAATTTGTATTTTTCACAAATTTATTCTCCAGAGAATTTGACTTATATTCTGCTTTGTAAATTATTGGATAATAGGAGAAATTTTCTGATTAGCATAACTAGTTCCTGTTAACCCAGTTGGATCTCTGTTTTTCTTTTTTTTTTTAAATTTTTTTCTTTTATTAATTTTTTTCGTTTCATTTTCTTCCATACATTCAATCACATTATTATTTGTCTTACAAAAATGGATATTTAAACAGGTGAACATTTCTCCCTAATACTGTTGATAAAACTATGAAATATCTGTTTTTCACCCTCCACAAGAAATGTGTAATTTAAAAGCTATCTTATAATGCTTCTTACAATTTAAAAAGTTTTCAGGGAATACCTATGGCCTTCAGAATAAAGTTTATGAATCTACACATGGCTTTCAATTCCTATTATAATCTTGGACTTCAAACATCTTTTCTCTTGAAATGTATCTATGCCTAGGTATAGATTTTTAATATATTTTATGAGTTGTGTTTTGATATATTCAACATATAACAAAACACTTAAGACATAATCAGTTTTTCCTAAAATGTTAATTCAGAAAAATTTGTTGATACTGTAATATCACTTAAAACTTTTTCAAATATCCTAAAGATAGTTTCTATATATTACAGTAAAACTAAAGAAAATTATGGAGACTCTAATAAGTTCTTTGTAACACTCTTCCCACAATTTAAACTAGTGGTTACATACAGTGAATGTTATGTTGCTAATTACTGCCTTTCATTTTAGGGGACATCTAAAAAGAACATGGAAAATAAAAATGCAACCTTGCTGACAGAGTTTATTCTCACAGGACTTCTATTTCAACCAGAGTGGAAAATCCCCCTGTTCCTGGTGTTCTTGGTCATATATCTCATCACCATGGTGGGGAACCTTGGTCTGATTGCTCTCATCTGGAATGACCCTCACCTTCACATCCCCATGTACTTATTCCTTGGGAATTTAGCCTTTGTGGATACTTGGATGTCATCCACAGTGACTCCAAAGATGCTGGTCAACTTCCTAGCCAAGAATAAGATGATATCTCTCTCTGAATGCATGATACAATTTTTCTCCTTTGCAATCTCTGTAACCACAGAGTGCTTTCTCTTAGCAGCAATGGCATATGATCGCTATGTAGCCATATGCAAACCCTTACTTTATCCCATGATTATGACCAACAAACTATGCATCCGACTGATATGCTTGTCATTTGTGGGTGGTTTTCTTCATGCTTTACTTCATGAAAGTTTTCTATTTAGATTAACTTTCTGTGATTCGAACATAATCCATCACTTTTACTGCGACATTGTCCCATTGTTAAAGATTTCCTGTACTGACCCATCTATTAATTTTTTAGTAATTTTTATTTTCTCTGGATCAATTCAGGTATTCACTATCATGACTGTTCTTGTGTCTTATTCATTTGTTCTTTTTACCATCTTAAAAAAGAAGTCTGTGAAGGGTATAAAAAAAGCCTTCTCCACCTGTGGGGCCCATCTCTTATCTGTGTCTTTATACTACGGCCCTCTGCTTTTTATGTACGTGCGCCCTCGGTCACCAGCAGCAGATGAGGAAGATATGACAGACTCTCTATTTTATGTGGTCATCATACCTTTATTGAACCCAATTATCTACAGTCTGAGAAATAAGCAAGTCATAGATTCACTGACAAATGTGCTAAAGAGAAATATTTTGATAGTCTCGTATTAACTCTTCTGTAAATTATCACCCAAATTTTGCAGTGTATAGTTATTTATGGTTTTCTTCAGTGCTCAGAAGGTTTTGTAATGACAACTATTTTGGCATGGTAATGACAAGGTATAAGTACTTAATAAATTTCTTAAAATATTTGTGTCTTTTCTTAAACAGAATTTAATATTTAAACTCAACTTCTTCTTATACTAGAATAATTAGAGCAATACTGTTAAAATGTTATGCATTTTGAATGTTCTCAAATGTGACTTTGTAAATGCATTAAATTCTAGAACAGCATGGTTCATCTGATAAGGACTTGAGGATGACGCCATTGACTTTAGTACAGCTGTGTTGCTTGAGGCTTTCATCACATTTATCTCAGTAGTGGAGGCACCTTTGTGTTTGGGTGAATACTGGCAAAGTCCAGGGATACAGTGAGCCTTCAGGGTTCTTCACTTCCTGTGCCTGGGTAATGTCACTTATCATAATGTTTTCCATTCTGTCCATGTTGCCTCAAATGATAAACTGCATTGTTTTTAATGGTTGAATAGTGTCTATGCACTTATCCGTTTGTGGACAGTTACTGTTGTGTCCACATCTTGCAGTATGTGTACTAAATAGAGTTGCAATAGCCCTGGCATGTACTTATCTCATGGCATTCTGATTTCTTTTGCTTTTGACATATACGAAATATTGAGATGGCTAGATGACATAGCAGTTTTATTTTTAGTTTCATCATGAACATCCACACTATTTTCCAAACTCCCATACTAATGTACTGGACTCTGACCTTTGCCAAATATGATTTCTCATCCGATTTCACATTAAAATGAGGTAGCCAATTATATATCTGGCCTTGAGATAGCAGTTGTATGAGGTGGACAACTATACTTGGGGATTCTCTGCAAGGAATCTAGAACTAGGACTTCACTGCAGTTAGGTTTGAGTTTTCAGATCAGATAATTTTAAACAAAGCAGTCAGAGCTACAACTTACACACACACACACACACACACACACACACACACATACACATGTACACACACATATACACACTAAAGCTTACATACTTTTTTCATATGTGTCACCTGTGATATAAAAATTGGCCTAAGTGCAATTTCAGTTGTTAAAATTCTGTCTGCAGTAATTTTGATGTTTATGATTTCAAATTTTCTAATGCCCTGTGGCATATTTCAACTTCTTATACATGTCTAGTGTCAGAAAAAAATATATTTATAATTATAATGATAACGTAATTTTTATGTTCTATTACACACAAAAAAATTTTTAATTTGTCAATGTGTAACACTTTGTTTAAGAGAGATTTTCCTGTAGAGTGCATGAGCTCAACAAAGAGCCAAAGAGACAGAAAGTGAGAAATCCACCCCTGGGAGATGGACACATTGCAATCCTTTCTCCATTCTCCTCTTGGAATTTTGGGCACACACGCACACATGCCTGGTATGAGTTTTAAGCTGCCAGTTCTGGGACTTCAACCCCAGTCAACTGCATGGAAGTCCTGCCACGAAATCATTACGCCATCTGCTGGTTTCAATATGTAATATTTTTAGACTGGGTTTACAAGCCTCCAATATACCCAGTTGTAAATGGAAAACAATTATTGAATCATCTGTGTACTTTATGTCCTTTTTGTAAACTCTGGATTATCAGGTGTAGTAATATGGGTTTGTTCCCTCTAACAATATTTTATCTCACTTACCTAGCTATAATGAATTTATCAAATAAGATTTAGTAGCTCCAAAAATCACACAAATTAAAAATTTCATATCCTAATCCTTGTTATTTAAGAGCACTCTCTGTTGATTTTGAAAAAAAAATCTGTTTAAATACAGAATAATTACTACTTTTAATACTTCTATTCTTTTACTCCTGATAATAATGTCACTGAGTGTTAAATGCACATACACATACAAAGATATATATCTGTAGGTGGACTCGTATAGCACAATATATGCTGAAAATTCCTCTCCATTCTCTTTTCAAATGTTATTACAGAGAAATTGAATTTGATGATTTTCTATTATTTTTGACTTGAAATTGTATGAAAACAAATCCATTCCACATAAAAATACATTTAGTAACCAGAATTATTGTTGTTGACTATGAGGGGTGAACTATACTCATATTTCTTTTTTTTTCTAACCATTCTTTCTTTTTTTCTTTCTTTTTTTTTTTTTTGGAGAGGTTTTCGCTATAGGGTGTGTACACTTGCCAGACAGACAGAGAGAGACAGAGAGACAGAAAGCGAGAAATCACCCCATAGAGGGGATGGCCACGCCACAATCCCTTCTCCTCCATTCTCCTCTCGGGATCTTGGGCACGCATGCACATGCGCCCGGCGTGAGTTTTAAGCCACCAGGTCCGGGACGCGAACCGCTGTCAACTACGTGGGAGTTCAGCGGCATAGCCATTACGCTGACTGCTGGTCCCCTAACCATTCTTTCTTAGGAGACCTTGGGAGAGCTATGCATATTATCATCAATCTTAGTAAACAGATTCCCTTATCTCGGCAACTGTGGCTTACCTTCTCATATCCTCATTCTGGCCTACTGTCACACATGATGATTTATTAACACCTCATCTATGTTAGGTTAGCTTAAACATTCCTTAGTGTTCACCCCATGTTTTGACAAAATCTTGCTATTTTGGCCAGTAATATTCTAAAGAATGTCTGAATTTACCTATGATGTGTAAGCCCCTATTTCAAGATGCCCTGCCTTTTGGCACCAAGTCAGTAGATAACCTTGATGCATTGATTTACAGCTTCTGTTTCCTAATTTGTATAAACACCTATGGTAACTCAAACTCTTGGAAAACTTTCTCAAGGCTGCTTGAATTTGTTTCTCATAATATGGTCACACTTACTACCTTGGAATAAACCTTCTTCAATATTCTACAGTGTTTGGTGTTTCAATCAATAGCTAGTTATAAAGCCAGTGTAAGTTTCCAATCTTTGGTTCAATTTTATTCTGCCACAGTTTATTGAACAGTGAAACTATTAGGTTGTCAAGAAAGTCACGAAGCTTTTTGTTTAGGAAACCATAGCATAATAAGTCATGACTTTGCAGATGACCTAATAGGATTTCTAGGAAGGGTCAGTTCATAGCATTTTAATAACAAATATAAAGTAACTTCATTTTTATTCAAGAAAGGGAGTGTTGGCACATGCACAAATGAGAGAAACAAGAGTGAGAGGGAACAGGGTCTGGTGATGCTATATCCTTCCCCAGCCCCCCAGTTCATCAGTATCTTGACCAAGTGCATGCATACCTGGAGTGTTTCAGGTTGCCTTGTGTGATGCTATATCTTTCCCCAGCCCTCCAGTTCATCAGTATCTTGACCAAGTACACACATACCTGGAGTGTTTCAGGTTGCCTTGGTTGGCCGTGTGACCTCCAGCACTCTATTCAGTGTGCAACTTACCATGCCACAATTGTTGGACCAACAGTTCAAGAAAGATCTTTAAAGCAGCACTAGTATATTTATAAACAGCACAACTTGTTAATTGACATTTTATGTTGTCTTTCTTTCATATACAAATTCCATATAAAAAATCAACTCTTAATTTTAAATTTAAAAAATAAAAGATTACCGAAATCAACATCCTTAAAGAACACCTGGTTTAAGAAAAACAGTTGGCCCATTTCTGTTACAGTTTTTCATCTTCATCCTTTTTCCTAATACTTCATCTGTCCCTCTTATTTGGCTTGTCTTTTCTATACTTATCCATGTTTCTCTGTTAGTCTCTGCCTATTTCTCCTCCTCCTTCTGCTTTTTTATTTCCATCCAACTAAATTTCCCTTTCCACTGTTTATACCCTTTTGCCTCTTAATTTCTTCCTCTCCTGCCCTATCTTTAAAACTGTTATTCATCATTAAACAGGAAAAAATTGCAATTACCTACACACAGTATATAAATGCCAACTCTTCCTTGTATACTTGGAGTGATCTATTAATTACACTTACTGTTGAGCACTCATTTCTCATTCACTTATTTTCTAACCTTATGTTTAGTGTTTCTGGAGATATCAAAACCATAATGGTGGGAACCAGCAGTTGCGTAATGGCTATGTCGCTGGACTCCCACGTAGTCGACCACGGTTTGCGTCCCGGACCCGGTGACTTAAAACGCACGCCGGGCGCGTGTGCGTGCGTGCCCGAGATCCTGACAGGAGAATGGAGGAGAGGGGATTGCGGTGTGACCACCCCCCTGGGGGGTGATTTCTTGCTTTCTGTCTCTCTGTCTCTCTCTGTCTGTCTGGCGAGTGCACGAGGGATTGCGGCATGGCCATCCCCCGCTGGGGGGTGATTTCTTGCTTTCTGTCCCTCTGTCTCTCTCTGTCTGGCGAGTGCACACGCCCTATAGCGAAAACCTCTCCAAAAAAAAAATCCATAATGGTCACTGTCTGGGTTTGAGGGCCCTTGGCTTTATGCAAAATGAAATTCTAGGGTAAATCTTTAAGGGAGCATGAGAGAAGAGTTTTTTTTAAATAATTTACTTTTAGTTATCATTATTATTATTTTTGAATATTCTATAGAGCGTATATGTTCACCAAAAAGAGACAGAGGCAGAAAGAGAGAGAAAAAAAGCACTCTCGATAGTTTTTTATAATGGTTTGATCCTCTTTCCCCAACCCTCAAGCTCCTCAGATTTCTGGATGCTCCAGCCTGGCAAGTTTTCATAAAGACACTGGAATACGAAACTGCAGGTGGCCATGTGACTGTCTGTCACCTTTACAGTACATTTGTACTACTGCTGCACCACATGAGCTAGGCAGTCACTTAAATATTGATTCTGGCATACTTTCAACACTTTGAGCATATCATGGACATATATGGGTGTGTGATTAGGAAGATTTAATGGAAATCTAACTCCACTGTTCTTTCTAGCATTTATGGCTTAATTCTTATCATACAAGTTCACATACAAGTTGATTTTTTAAAAATTTCAGTTATTAGTTAGAATTTAATGAAAAGAATTAATTTCCAACAAGTT